GAAATCTGTTGTTCAAAATTGACTGTCCGACTTGCTGTCTGCTCCATAATTTATTGACACATCACTTTAAGTTAACATGGCTAATTTTTCTCTTACTGCCACTTGTGCTTAAAAATAGGTGTAAAATGACGTGTCAATGATTAATTGGTGAACAGCAAGTTAGACAGTCAATTTTGGACGGTAGATCTCAACTTTATATACCTGGCTGATTGTGTTCATGAGCCAAAAAAATATACATTTTGTTGTTAGCTTTTTCCTTAATGCATAACAGTTGAATTAGTAACAGAATCTCCAATACAATATATTGAGCTAGAATTTTATATTGTATAAAGAATGAAATCTTCAAGCCCATTTAATTAAGAAAGTAAGTAAAATAATTATAATTTCCTAAAAAAATTATCATATTTAGAGAAATTAAAGTCAATAGATCTAGTAGCTCCATAACTAACATTACATATAATGATTAATCAATAAAAATAATATAAAACAACTCATATAGTCGACTCTAGAAGCAGTAAAATAAGAATAATGTTATTTGCAGTCGCTCACTGCAGCAGCTGTCCTATGTGGCACACACATGTCAAGTGTGTATTTAATACATTAATGTGGTCAAAAAAATACCAAATTAATGCATCAAATAATTACATGTCATGTGTGTGCCACATAAGGTGACTGTTGTAGTGAGCGACTATGAATAACATTATTCGTAAAATAAAGTTTAAATTATTCCCGAAATAAAATATTAAAGTTGGGTGGCTGAATATTGAAAATACCTTTGACAAACCCCACTCTAGCCCCAAGGTGTGGCAATCATTATCGAACATGGGTGCCACCCCATTGTTGACACTTTAACTTCCTTAATTCAACTACTCTATGCTCCTCCTCATAAATATATACTATGATCACATATAAACTATAGTCATTAAGCAAAATATTGTATGCTTCTACAAATGAAGCCCTTCTATATTTCCGTCATCCTTTTTCTCCTCCTCATTTCAAGCACCAATGCAATCCCAGTGAATAGAAATTATGTGAAACAATTCTTAGCTTCTCAAAATGCCGCCCGATCCGCCTTAAGGCTGCCTCCGATGGCGTGGGATGCCAGGTTAGCCCATTATGCTGAGTGGTACGCCAACCTAAGGCGCCGGGACTGTGCGTTGGAGCACTCAAACGGGCCATACGGAGAAAATATTTTCTGGGGCAGCGGCAATGGGTGGACCCCAGCTCAAGCTGCAGCGGCATGGGTGTCTGAACGGCGGAGCTACAACTACATGTCGAATTCTTGTGCATATGGGCAGGAATGTGGACATTATACACAAATTGTTTGGAGAGAAACAAGAAGAATTGGATGTGCTAGAGTGAACTGTTATGGGGGCAGGGGCGTTTTTATGATTTGCAGTTATGACCCTCCTGGGAATTACATTGGAGAGAGACCTTATTGAATGTTCAATCAAGTCATTTTTGAAAGAAAATTCACTGTATGGCAGTTAAGACTTGAGAGTATGTTATTTGCTGTCCGTCTAATTAATATTTTCTTTCTTTCTTTTTCATTTTTCTTTCCTTTTCTGTGTGGGGTGGGGTGGGGTGGGAGGGGTGAGATTGATGAAATGATACCTTGATTGATATGTATACAGATAATCAAAGATTATACGAATATAAACTAACCTTTGGGGGTACCTTTACAGTTTGGACTTTGGATTCCTTGATGTTTAAGTATACGACGATTATCAATTATCAACTACGTGTATAGTATACAACGAGTCCCTGTTTGGCCACTATTATTTGGTATTATAATTTTTGGAATAATATATATATTTTTTTTTTGAAAAATTGGTTGTTGAAAAATAAAGAAAATTTTTCGATTTTTATGTAATATTATTTTATTGGAGAATCCGTAATTGAAAAGAAGAGAGAAAAAATATATTATAATTTTAATGGAGGTCAAGCGGGACATAGTTTGATAGGCAATTCTCTATCTAAATGTTAAACAAGATATAATCTGTTTTTCTTCTTTAAAATTATTAAAAATTCTACAGTTTTCGTTAACTAATAAGCTATAAGTGACTTAACAAGATTGAAGAAGGATCTTAGATATATTCTTATCTAGATGACTTGATCCATGTATGTTATTAGGTGTTAATTAGTATCACTTCATAATTAGAAAATGAGGAAATTTTTTGAGAGTGTCAAGAGAGAGACAAAATAAAATGTAGTATTATTATTTTCAATGTTTTAAAATCCGGCCCGAGCATCGACCCTAAAAAGAGAAATGGTCAAAGATCAAAAGATTCAATTGAGTTCGAACCGAGGTCAAACCAGAGGTAATAAATAAATATTTATAAACATTTAAATTTTATTTTCACAACAATAGATAATTAAATTTTTACACCATGAATTCAAAATAAATGTATGTTTTTTAATATAAATTTTAATAGTTTTTAATTTGTTAGATCACTTAAAAACTCATTTCAATTTTACTAAATAATTTGTAAGATAAAAAAAATGTTTAGCAATCTATAGAAATTGAGTAATTTAATTTTGTTGTCATGCACCATGTGGCCATAAATAATATTGAAAAAATGTGCTTTGTTGAAGTTTGTCAATTCCACATTGAAAATGTATTGAAAGAGTGTTTTATTGAATTTTGCCAATCCCATGTTGGAAGTTTATCAATTATGAACTCAAGAAATGGTAGAAAAGCGAGTAAATGGGTTTCCGTCAAGGTAACCTCATGTATGAATTTTTTAAAAACAAAAAGTTTTGGAAACCGATCCAAAAACTATGATCGGTTCCATGTTTTCGGTTTAGTTGACCGGTTTTCTGATTATTTTAGTATAATCGGAATGGAGTTTGGTCTGGTTCCCCATTTTACCAGTTGCCGTCCTGGCTGGTCCGATTTTATAAACAATAATTTTTTTCATTATGTTTCAAGTAACCTTCAAACAATTAAAAATACTAATATACTCTCATCTTTCTTCTTCTCCATTCTCTTGCAACACAAATTTAAGCATTATAATATATGAAGATGTGAGCGTCATATAAAGTTACATGTGAGTGTTGTACAAAGTTAGGATGACACTTGCAAGAAGAAAGTTTTGCTTGATGATTGTTAAAGTCATCGAGCAATATAAAATATACGAAAAAGGGAAATTCAACGGCTATTTAGTTCAAGGACATGAAAAATTCCATTACATAGCGACTACTTTTTTAGCCTTCATAGAACTAGGATCGCATGAATATTTTCTGTCTTTCCTTTGAAACAAAAATAATTAAAACAGTTCAAAGCAACAGTCAATGAATCAAGTATATATGCGGATCACCTAATTTCCTCGAAACAATCTTATCTAGTTTTCCATATGCTCTCTCTCTCTCTCTCTCTCTCTCATTTATTCCTAACAAGACTGTTTTCGCATCCAGACGATCCTCACGAGATACAATTGTCATATCACCGATACAATTGCTCTAATATCAAAATTGTTGAATTTAAATATTAAAGAAACAATTTAGTTAATGAAAATGTGTAATAATTTGTTACATAAACACGCTTTCTCTCACTAATCACCGATACATGCCACTTCACTATCTAGGACACTATCACTCCACTTTATTGCAACTTCAATCTCTCTCTATCACACCACTCAACCACTTTCTCTAAATCCATCAATTCTTTATTTCTCTCTTCTCACACACCACTATCATAACTCTTAGATTTTCACACACTACATGTATGTATGTATGTACCGCCTCTTTCTTTCTCTCACACTCCATTTAGATGCACTCATATATATACTTAGCTAAGTCAGTGAACTCGAGGACGGTAAAAATATTGATATGAAGTAAATAAATCCTAACACCAGCACTTTCAAGATTCATTTTCAACGTTGATGATTTCTTCACTTCAAGAAACAATTATACATTTTTTCAATAAAATAATTTTACATTTGATTTATAATTTTTTTCCTATTTTTAACTATGCATATTTGGTAATGTGTGGCATAGCTCGAGAAGAGCAAATGGGTGGTTCACAGGCTGAACTTGCCATCTCTGGCCTGTCACCATTTGTTTTGTCCATTCCAAATTGCCACCCACAAACACAACAATTTAACAACATATCATTATCTGGTGTGGCCCAGGTAACATGCAAATGGGTAGTCCAAATTCCACAAAAATGCAACTCCTATATTCTTTTAGTAGAGGAGTATTTTATTACTGAACAAATGGTATGGGAGCTTGTATTAGGCAACATATAGAGCCTGTTTGGTACAGATTCTCATTTTTTACAGTAAATCAATTTTCATTTTCAACCACACATTCTTCAATAAAATAATATTTTCCATCACATCAAAACTTTTTCTTCATTTTCAACCACACATTTCCCATCATATCACTATTCAAAAATCAATTATTCCCTCAAAAATCCCTACCAAACACACTCATAATTAGGGCACCCTTTGTGTTTTAGTTTTTAGTTTTGAATTCATTTTTAGTTTTTTATTTTGGGGTCCCTTTTTTAAAAAAAAAAAAATTAGAAAAAACGTTTGGTTTGAAATTTTGAAAAATTGTTATATAACATTTTATTCTATGAAATTTTTTATTATTTAATAAAAATAGAATTATTAAATAATATATACATTTTAAATTTGGTGAATTTTACATTATTTTTTCCTCGATACGAAATGTAAAATAATAAATTGAGTTCGAAATATAGAAAAAATAAAAATTAAAATTAAAGAACTAAGAATATTTTTATTTCTGTTCATTTAAATTTTTTTTTTTTAGGATTTTATGTAAATAATGATTAAGAGCTTGAACTATTTCTATTTTTCATTTTTTTAATTTAATTTTTTATTAGAATTTTAAATTTATTTTTTTC